GGATGCTGACCACCGGTGGGGAATGAACAATAAGGTGTCATATTTCTTATTAAAAGTCTTTCTTGGGGTCAGTTTACATTTATACATTAAATTCTAATATTTCATGGGATTTTTTTACCCTAATATGCTTTAATATAAACTATTTTTAGTAGAGAGATTAAAAGTAATCTTTACTTCAGAGATTGTAATAAAGTCATTATTTTAAATGAAAAATGAATCATTAAGCTTCAATCAGCTACTACGTCTTACAGGCTTGTTGTGGGAAGCTGGCCTAAGTAGGTAACGCAATTCAGATATCAGAGGAATGGATGCTAGACCATCAAGTTCTGAGAATGTTACAGAGATCCCAACTTTTAGTTCTTATCACGATTTTCTTCCATTTTCCATTTTTCTATAGAAAAAAAGATAGCTGAAGAAAATTAAGAACAGATGGGACTTTTGATTGGAGTTAATAAAGTCTTGATAATGAAAATGTACATTGCATAGAAATTTGCAGTTTACAAACTAATATTTCACACACATTAATTCTTTTTATCAGAACAACCCAGTAATTAGGAGAAATAAGATTTTTTGCACAGATAAGTTGTAGATAGTTATTATTTTCCTTATGCTTCCATTTTCTGTTACATTGCCTTTAGTTGCATTATCACCTTAAAATATAATTTACTGTTTAAATGTCCATTCCATCCACTAAACTGAAGCATCTCAAGGACAGGAACTATACCTTCATCTTCATTACCAAATTACTAGATGTTTGTTTAAAAAAAAATGTATTAGTCCAGACCTTTTCTCTTGCAATTGGCAAAAGCTCACTTCAAACTAGACTTTTTTTTTTTTAATTGACACATGTAGTTGGAAAGTCTGGGGAGCAGCTGGCGTGTCTCTGCTTCACTTCAGCTACTTTCTCCTTGGCTGTGATGGCTCCTGTGATCCCAAAACCAAATCATGACAACTTGTGACACAAAAGAAAGACCATTCCTTTTATATTATCCATATACCAAATTTGAGTCCCTGCTTGAGTCCTGTGACTATCCCTGAACAAATTACTTAGGCCAAGAACATGGAGAGCTACAACTGACCAGTGCAGGTCACGTGAACATCCAGTAATACACTGCAGAGGGTTGGGAACATGTGGGACACAGGAATGGGTTCAGGTTCATTCCTTAAATGAAAAATGGCATGTTGTTATTTAAACAGAGGAGAAGAAACACTGGGAAGATAAAAACAAGAGACATCAACTGTGAAATGGATTCCTAATTAAGAGGTCTACATAGGCAGCTAAGTAAGAACCCAAACCTGGTTTTCTGACATCAAATGCAGTGTGTTTACTCCCAGAAAAAAAAGATTCATTCTTTGTAAAAGAAAGATGGAAAGGTGGCCTAGAAATGACTTATAAAGGCTTTTCACATCAAATTACCCTAAAAACCAAAACAATAGCCTTTGATTCCATAAAATAAGAAAAATTTCAAAATAGACTCAGTCCTGAGCAACTCAAACCCCCCTTCAAAATTGAAGGACATGTTCTCCTGACTGCTGACAGGGCTAGACACTGACTACCCTCCCTAGGAATTGCCCTCAGCTGAGGAGAACAAAAGTCCATGCAGGGTTGTAAAGTTCTTTGTTCTGCTAACCCTAACTTGGGATAACTCTGGACCCACCATCCCTCTGCCTTTGCAGAGACTGACTTGCAGCCCCACGTCTCCCTCTGCTGGCTCTCCCTTGCTCCCTTCCCTCGTGGGAGTGTTATTTCTGAGATCATCCTTAATATCCTCCAGGTTTTCTTCTAATCTCCATCACAGAGTCAGCTTCCCTGGGAACCCAGCCTTCTACAGCTTAGTATGCTTTTCTTGGGCCTGAAGGACAGCTAGAATTTGACTAAATAGTAAATGAAAACAAAAGTTATAAGGAAAGGTATTAAATGTTTGTTATATTCCTTAATATTTTTATTTAAAATGTTCCTCCATTTAAACAAAATGTCATACTTACAAATAACATGCGACTATCTATACCTTACCCTCTTATACAGTCTGGATAGAAAAAGTCACTAAGAGGAGTGACAATATGCTAATTAATGTATAGTTCTATGTTAGTTTCTATTGCTGATATTAACGAATTATCACTAATGTATACTACTCCGCCATAAGAAAGAATGGAATCATGTCTTTTGCAGCAACATGGATGAGATTAGAGGACAATATCTTAAGTGAAAAAACTCAAAAACACAACGTCAAATACTGTATGTTTTCAGTTATAAATGGAAGCTAAATAATGCTTATACATGAATATAGAGAGTGGAATAATAGACATTGGAGACTCAGAGAGTGAAAGGGTGGGAGGGGATGAGAGATGAAAAATTACTCAGTGGATACAACGTACACTGTTCCGGAGGTTGGTTACCCTAAAAGCCCTAACTCCATCAATACATACTATATGCCTATAACAAAACTGCGCTTGTATCCTCTAAATCTACAAAAATAAAAATAAAATACATTTTAAAAATACAGAGGCTTAAACAACACAAGTTATTATTTTGTAGTTCTGTAGGTCAGAAATCTGAACTGGGATCTCAATGGGCTAAAATCAAAGTAATGGCAAGGCTGTATTATTTTCTGGCGGCTCTAGGGAAAAATCCTTTTCCTTGCACTTTCCAGCTTCTAGAGATCACTGCCCTTTCTTCACTGAGGATCCCATTCCCTCACCTTCAAAGCCAGCAATCATGCCTCTCTCTGAAGGTTCAGAAAGTCTCAACCCCTTCTTCAAGGAGTCAGATCTCCCTGTGGCTCTCTTCTTCTGCCTCTCTATTCCAATTTTAAAGACTATGTTATTACACTGGCTTTTCATTCTGCACACATAAACGCTCATCCAGTTAAGACAGACCCTCTAGGTAAAACTTTGAATAGATTAAAATTGGATTTAGAATAAAATCAAAACCTCTTTCTGTGTCTCGCAAGGGTCTACACAATTTGACCCTCCCCTTCTACCCAGCTTCACCTCTGACTAGCTAGGCTGCAACCAAACTGGGATCCCAGAAGTTCTTCAAATACAAGCTCTTCACTGCCTTGGGTCATTTTCTGAGCTATTGTTTTCTCTCCCTATGGCTTTACCTGGGTAATGTCTTCTCATGCTGTAGAACACAGTTTAAATACAAGTTTACCAGAGAAATCTTCCTGGAGTATTCTAGCTAAAATAGGTCCTCCCCTCCACGCTATTATCCTACACCAAAGCACCCTATTGTTTCCTTCCAAGCATCCAGTGTGATTTGTGTTTATAAGTTTATTTACTTACTTATTGTCTGTCTCAATGTGGGGATGGGTATTTGCTAATATATTTCATGGTCTTACACCCTTATGTAATTTCTGAATTTGGTATTGAATAAATACTTAATACCTTTATTATTTCAGCTTTTGTATCTCATGCTCTGCTTTAGCTGAGGCTTTTGTTGTTTTAACCTGCTTTGACATCCTGGCTTTATAATATAATTAGGATAAGAAATGTAAAGTAGAGTTTATACAGAATATATATTGCAAAGATTTTGAGAATCACCACACAACTAAACATATAATATTTACAGTAATTGTTTTAAAATAAAAGAAAGCAATTAGAAAAGAAAGCAAATGTTTTCTTTTTTTTTTAAATTAATTTGTAACCTTGCAAATATAAGTTTTTGTCCCTTTTGTTACTCAGTTACTTTTGCTCTGAGTAAATGTCAATTTCCAAATTTATGTCTATTTATTTTATTGTTCTATGGGCTTATCTATTCCTTTTAATTATTAATGTATTAAAAATACAAAAATTAATTGTTGCCATTGAGAAGCAACTTTTACATGCATGCAGTCACACACAATTAGAGAGTTTGAGATATAATCTATTCATAATAAGTTCTCTACAATCTCATTTATTTCTTATCTTTTTCTAATATTTTTTCCTTTAAACATTTTATGCCTTGGATGTATAATGAAAAATATAATTTATGACATGGTAAAAGCAAATCTGCTATATGAAGATTATATTGTGCCAAATATACCTTCTAATCATATTTATTTCAGATAACTTCTTTTATAAACAACCAACGTGGTACTAGATAGAAATATTTGTAACATTTCAGACACTTATTGTTACTGAAACACACATCAAAGTAAAATTGGTAAAACACTTTATTTAGTCTGAATTTTACTTTTCTTACTTAAATGTGAAGTAGACACTGGGCTTTTTGATAACTTTTCAGAACTTTGCTTATTTTGTAATAGGTATGTGAATATTTTGCTAATCATCACATATTCAAAAATGTTGCTTAACATTTTCTAAAATACTGAAATATGTTTTGACAATTTATGTTTTAAATGTAAAGTACTTTATCTTTACTCTTGAAGAGAAAACTCTCTTACTAAGTTTTTCAGATCTGTGCTAATAAATCTGAAAATAGACAAAATAGACTCATAAAATAGACAAAAATACAGCTATTTTATTGTGGTTTAAGTGACCTGAGACCCTTTGAATATAACCTCTCAAAATTTTCTTTCTAACTAGATTATAAAAGTCAAGTTTAGTGATACTATTGTCTATTTTAAGAAATGTTCATAATCTTGATTCAGATTCATCTGCCATCAGTGATATTCATGTTTTACTTCACGTTAATGCTCTTTAATGCTAAGGAAAATAGGGAATGTACTTTCCTTCTTCTCATGTTTTGCTTTATGAAAGTGAGGCCACCCCCAACCACCTCCTTCTATCTTGTTCCAACATTTCCAGTGTTGACATAATCTAGAATCTGTGTGGATAGAAAGAAACCCATTTTTAAAATAATAATTCCTACATTTTTCATGTAAACATATTAAATCATGCAAAACCTTAAATATATTTGGGAGTTCCATCGGCTACTCAGTTAATAATTCCAGACAGCCTTCAATGTTGGATATTAAACTATTCTGATGTAAGTGAAACAGCTTTTGTCTCCCTTCTGTGCTATAATTCACAATTCGTTGGGCTTTTAATGTTTCCAGATATCCGTGGAATACAGGAATTTTTGGACAGAGTATCTCAGCAAGGGATGGATGTTGCACTTCAGAAGGTAGAGAACAATATCAATAAAATGATCACCACTCTCTTTGATACCATGAGAATAGAGGAATTGAATCGCTATCGAGACACTCTTAGGCGAGCCATCCTTGTTATGAACCCCGCCACCGCCAAATCCTTCATTACTGAGGTGAGTAAAAACTTTCATGGGGTAGGGCTAGGGTGGAAAAATTAAATGCTTCAGAATAGACCCCACAGAGGAGATGAAAATTAAGAGCAGTGTGAAGGAATTAACTACACAACTCTCATTAACGCTAATGAAGGTAGACAATGAATTCCTTGCTCATCTCATTTACCCCTTACTGTCCAGTTAATTGCTGAGAATGTTTGTATTTATATATGTTTAGGCACATAGCCAGGACCGTTTTAAGAAGTCTTATGGGATTTTAAAAGTGCTTTCGACCTAAATGAATCTAGCGAGTTCAAGAATGAATTCACAAGTGCACAGCTCTCTAATTGTGCACTTGCGTCTCTAAACTTTAATTTTTCAAGTTAAAATTTTGCTTCTGAGAAAAGATTTACTTGAACCAAGATATTATTGCCTAAACAGGATTACTTTTACAAAAACATACAGCAGGCTTACTTCTCTGTGAACTCTGTACCAAGACAAATAATTAAAAGTGTCTGAAGCTCTGCAAAATGATCCACATTGTACATTTTAGATGCTGCATGCTCAAATTTTTAATTGTATCTGTTCATTTGGATAGAAGCTCTGAAACTTTGTAAAAATACAATTAAGACTTTCTAGTGATTGGTGTGACATCTCTTTGTTCTAAAATGCCTGCTGTTTACTGCCTTGCAAAGGATTATTGTGAAGTCCTTTTTGCCTTACTTCAAGTTTTTAATTTTATATAGTGATAGACCTTGTCATGGCATCACATACTTTCAAATGGATTTTATTGTTAAGGTTTTTAATTTTGATGACTTTATTTGATTAATACTTTTTTCCTCACTTTGCCATTATGCTTCTGTTCACTCCCAAAGTACTGCCATAAAGCCTCCAGATTAGGAATGTGTTAGAAGTTCTTTGACACTCTGTAATATAATTGGTATCAAAAAACTTGAGAAGAATATAAATCAGAACAAGAAGAACAAAACTCTCTAAGAAGAACAAAACTTGTAGAAAACTATCAATAATACCAATTTTTTTATTTTAATAGGGAACTTTGTTATGCAGTTTAAGGACAAATATAAAACTTTGACTCTTTAAGGTTAGCAAATAAATTGAATGACTAGATTTTTCCATAATAGAAAGAATATTTCCAATTTTTCAGGGGTTGGTTGTTTCCTTCAAGAAACACAAAGTCTTTTACAAGATTGAGTGCAAGTACACAGAGACATGTAATATGAATTAAAGTGTTAAAATTGCATTAGATGAGCTTGAACCATCTGTGGTCATTTCTGGCTGGGGAAATCAAAGAAAGCTTCATTGAGAATATTGAGAAGGTATATTTGAGCTGGACTTTGTGTCATGGGTAGGAATTTACAAAAATGGTATACAGCAGACAAATATAAGTCCTTCTCAGCCACTTTCTGGTCATATGTTGTGGGCAAATCACTTAACCTTTCTGAGCCTCTATTTTTTCATCAGTAAAATTAGAATATTTTGTTGATTTTAAAATATTAAGAGTATAATGTAGATTAATGAGATGCCCTATAATATACCTTCTGGGGGAAAGGGCCTGACCTAATAGATGCTCAAGAAATGTTAACTTCTAAATCATTTTTTTCTACCACATAACCCAGTACCTGACACATAATAGATGCTCAAAAACTGCTTACTATAGTGAAAATAATGTCAAAATTAGCAGAGGCACAGGCCCTGATTGTATGCTCAGAGTAGAGTAGATAGTTTGATGTGGATTAACAGTAGGAGACATGAAATAGAGCAATAGCCCACATTGTGTGAAACATGGATTTATACCAAATGACAGGAGCCCTCTAATGTCAGGGTAACAATCCTTCTGTCTTTAACAAACAAAAGCACTAGGCTTAGAATGGGGGTGACATGATCAGGGCTTTTGCTATAGAGTGTGTCTGCAGGTGGGGAGCCTTAGGAAGTGATCACCCCCTTTCAGACAGAGAAGATGATCTGTATGCAGGGCTGGTTATGGGACACAGGACCATAGGGATGAGAGTGACTCTGGTGCAGATTGTGATCAGGAGATGAAGAATAAGAGAAAAATTTGAAGTTTTTACATTGGGTACCAGGAGATTATGGTGGTGTATTCCTTTGCTAGAACTTTCATAACAAAGTGCCACTAAGTGTGTGGCTTAAACAATGGAAGGTTATTGTCTCACAGCTGTGGAGACATATGTGGAGGCTTATGGATGGCTGTCTTCTCCCCAAGTCTCTTTATTCCATCCTCTCTATGTGCATGTCTGTGTGTCCAAGTTTCCCTTTTTATAAGGATGCCAGTCATTTTGCTTCAAGGCTCACCCTAATTACTTCATTTTAATCTGATTACCTCCCCAAAGACTTTATCTCCAAAGAAGGTCACAGTCTAAGGTACTGGGTGTTAGGACTTCAATGTATGAATTTGGGAAGTGGGGCACTAATGACATAATTTAACCCATAGCAGGTGCCATTCATTAATTGTTACGGTCAAATAAGGCAGAGGAGTAGGTATGAGAGTTTAATTTGGAATATGTGAAATTTGAGCTAGCAGTAGACTAGCCAGTTCATCATAACTGTGTTTTAACACTTTTATGCTATTTACTTAATATCTATTTTCCTAAGGTCTTTATAAATGATGAACTTATCTAATCCTCATAAAGAGCCTATGCATTGTTATTAACTTTATCTTTGTTTTACGAAAAAGGAAACTGAGGCACATAGAGTTCAAGTAAGTTGTCAAGATGACACGACTAGTACAAGGAGGTCTAGGATTGATTCCAAGTAGTTTGCTTCTAGAGTTTATGTGTTTAAGCACAGTTCCCAGAAAGGGTAGTTATGAGTGCATGACCGGAGTCCAGGAGAAAGATCAGTGCTGGCACAGTTTATTTTTTTCAATCAGTTTAACAAACATGAATTTACAATCCAGTTTTTTCTACAAACTATGCTAGGTACTAGTGCCACATAATTACGATGCAGATCCAGATCCTCTCCTCAAGTTTGCAGCCTGATGCTGGGGAAGGAAAAAGAGTGTGAGCGTTACAAGCTACATGCCCTGGCAGGACACACACATCTACCCTGAGTCACAGAGCTGCCTACCAAGGAGGGAAACCACCCTGAGTCTGGTTGCAGAAGTAGAAATGCAGCTGCGGAAATGTTAAAGAAGGAGTTGGTTATAGATGGTGTCCTGAGAGTGGGGCATTTTGAGTTGAGCACTAAAGGACATGTGGACTTGGATCAGGCATAGAAAGGAGGGAAGGGCATGCTAAGCAGCAGGAAGACCATGCTGAATAAAAGCACAGAGGCAGGGTGTGGATCAAGATTACAAAGGGCCCAGGAAGGACTGGATGAAGGTGGGCATGTTGACTAGTCTGTTGAGAACTTTGGTGATGAAAGTACAGATAAATTACTGTTAAAAATCTTTTTAAAACCCTAGTGATGGATATCAGAAGCAGGAAGATCTGCTTCATCTTTAGGATGGAATAAGCTAAACCTTTTTATACAGATCTTGAAAAGCAACCAGTGAAAAGGGAGAGATTGTAAAATGGAGAGGGAATACTGATGAGATGAGATCCCAGAGTGTTAGAACTAGAAGCTCTCTACCAGGGGAGGGCTACTCATGACCAATAACCTAAAATTCATGTTTCAAAGGTAGATGAAATTAGTTCAGACTTTGTTAAAGAATTTTCTCCACCATCCTTGTATTACTGATAATCAATTTCAACCAATATAATCTTGACTTGTAGTCTCACCTTAGCTCCCTGTCCTCAATTCTGAACTTTGATGCTTTTAAAAATGTGCTGATCCCATCTTTGCTCCCAAACACATGAAATCTATGCTTGTGATTCTTTCATGAGAGTCTTCTCTGACTCTCCCCACTCAGCCACCAATTCTTTTTCAGCAACTTGTCTTTTAGAATCATTGATTTTATGTCTCCAAACTGTAGACAAGTTTATTCCACAAATGCCTCAAGCAGCAATGTGAGAATGACAGAAAGAATGTGAACCACCGCCGTCTCCGCCTCCATCCTGGGCTGGCCGCATAGCACCATTCTCTGACCTGCACAGGGTGTCCTGTATCTAAATTAGCTGTTCTCTCACATCTCTCAGCTCTCTCCTGGGTTCTAGGAGTGCCCCTGCTTAGGGGAAGCTGTTCATTCAAAAGGCAGGCAGCTCTGCATTCAAAAGAACCCACTGAAGTTCCAGAGGCACAAAGAGGCATCTTTTCTGAATGATCTACAGTATCATTCAGTCTAGTGGAGGAGGCAGGCATACGATTAAATAATAAAGCATGAAAGAAAAATGCTGTGATAGTGATGGTGAATGGTGTTCTGAAATACCACAGGAGAACTGGCGAACTGCAGAGAGCTTAGCTGAGCTCAGGACAAGTTTCACAGATAAGTTACTTCAGCAGAATCTTGAAAAATGAATAAGCATTCATCAGGCAGACAATGGTGGGCAAACAGTAATTCAGATAGAGGGATATGTATGGATACAGTTAAAAAGTCAAATTTGACCAAGGGTTTTATAATGAAAAACAAAAGCCCCTTGTCCACTTCTTTCTACCTCCAATTACTCTTCTCAGAAAGAATCACTTACTTTTAGTTTTAATAATTTAATTTGTATTTACTTTTTAGAATATTCTGTGTATTCACATGGTTCCAAATCTAAAAGGCCTCCTGGCCCTGTTCTTTAAACATGTGATTTTCTTCTCGTGAAGTAAATAATGTGTTTTGTGTGGCATTCCAAGTATACACACATACACATACATACACATACATGCTTTTTATTCTTTCTTGCACAATTAGTAGTATACTAGGTATAAATTCTGGGCTTGCATTTTTGCATTTTTTTACTTAGCAACATCTAGGAGATCTTCTCATTGAGATATATGAAGTGTTCCTCATAATTTTTAATGGAGAGATTAAGTCACTCTTAGCTCTTTAATTTTTTTTTCTGTTTTTACTTGTGCTGAGGAATATTATTGGTTGATTTATTATCTTATTGACTACTTAT